AAAGAAAGTTTACATGTAACATTAGTTTCTCATTCAAGAATCCACATACAAAGTGTTCTGTGATATCAGTTGTGATCCTGAAATCTATTAGCACTCTCCTATTCCCTGCCCTGCCTTCCTCATTCTCATGCCTCTACTTCCCTTGCTCCTCTTATTTTTTGGGCAACTGTTGCCCTTTCATTCGCATATAGTTGATTGCTCTGAGTATTATATTCCTCATGGATGTTATTATTTATTTAATAGGTAAATATTTTATTTGGCTGAAGGTTGACAGGTTCACAATGTTATGTCTTACAATCCATGACCAAAATATAATTTTACATTGATGTGGTCCTTTTTAAAAAATTTCTTACAATAGTTTTTGTGTTTATTTTTTTGTTTTTTAGGTTTTCCTTGTATAAGTCTTTAAAGTCCTTGTTTTCTTTTATTCCTAGATATTTTGTGCTTTGGGGGGTTATTCTAAATGGTATTATTTTCTTGGTTCCCTTCTCAGAGTTTTTTTTAACACACAAGAATTAAACTACATGGTGTGTGCTGATCTTGTAACCTGCCACTTGGTTGAACCTTCCTGTTAGTTCTAGTAATTTCCCTATTGGGTTTTCGGAATTTTCTACTTATAGTGTCATGTTTCAAAGCCCTGGTGTTGTGGTGGTTTCACATTGGATTGCAAGGTAAGCAGGTGGAAACCAGCAGCCCCTCTGCAGGAGGTGGACATGGGTTTCACTTCATAATGAGTGACATTCTCAGAAACTCGCAGGGCCAGTTCTTCCCTGTCCTCTGACATGGTTTCACTCAATGGCAGTGAGCTTGGTTTGGTTTGAGTGTCATATTATATAAGAATAGGGATAATTTATTTCTCCCTTAAAATTTGGATGCCATTTATTTCCCTTTATTTCCTTACTGTTTTGGCTAGGATTTGTAGTACAATGTTCAATGCAAGTGGTGATAATAAGCATCTTTGTCTCCTTCTGATACTCAACAACGTAAATGATGACCATACAAATGAACCTCTGAAGACTGAATTGACTAAACTATTTTTGTAATTATATATATATATATAAATCAATCATATCATTCCATAGTTCAATTATGTCAAGTTGAATTGTACAATTGCTACCACAATCAGTTTCCAAACATTCTTTTTCTAAATGGGATCCTTAACATTGTCTCCCCTTCATCCCACCTCCACCACCACCACCACTGTTAAATGGAGAAGCTCAATATCATCAGCTAAATCAAGACCAGAGTTCATCTGTTGAAGAGACAATGACTTGCTTACATGCAATATCATGTTGAAACTGAAAAAATCAAAACAAATCAC